TCTTAAAAATAAATATCTAGCTCAGTTTTAATTTTGTTTAACTTGGGTTCACATTTTGTTCCAAGTTTTATTTGGTTACAGGATACTATCTAAGTTTGTGCCTCCGCTAATCCTCTGAGAGCACAGATCAGTCAATGTACTTCTTGCTAGGCACATATGTTATATGTTAAATAATTGGGCTAGAATCAAGTAGGGTGAATCCCAAGTTGTGCCGTCGTCTACTTGCCTGAATACTAAAGAATTTAAGTATGAAATGTTAACTGCTGTCATGCCAAAACTAATTCCATGTCTTTTTTTGTATATTTTCAGACTGCCTGCTCTTTGAGCTTCAATTGTGTTGTGAGTACAGCCACTTGTCATTTTTATATAAATTGCTACCTAATGTTGCTATTTGGGAGTTCAACTGTCTGTTAAAGCTGAGATAAAATTTAATCATGTGTGCCACTACCCTGGTGTATGGTCTTGGTAACTCATTTTTAAATCATTTCTGTAGCAACTGTTAATTTGGGACTAGGCTGGGAATCGTCATGTACTATCTGTTCTATCCTTTTTCTTTCAAGTGCCCAATGAGATTTAGCTTTGGACGTGGCATGAGGCAAGTGGATTTGGGGCTGCGTTCTCGCACTCATTTCTTTTTGTCTGCTGTCAGTTTGTGCCTCTGCAAATCCTCTGAGAGCACACATCAGTCAATGTATCTTTTACAAATCACATACGGTTATTGAAAGTCAAATGTCATCTAATGTTTTCAAGGGCTGAAACCAAGTAGGATGTATCCCAAAATGTACCGTCTTTCTACTTGCCCACAAACTAAAGAATTTGAGTGTGAATTGTTCACTGCTGTCATGATGAAACTAATTCCATTTCTTTGTGTCATTTTTTCAGACCACACTCGTTTGCTTCGTGCTCTTTGAGCTTCTCTTGTGTTGTGAGTACAGCCACCTGTCACTTTTATTTAACCTGCTTCTAATGTTATTTAAGAGTTCAACTGTCGATCAATGCTGCAATAAAATTTAATCATGTGTGTCACTACCTTGTATGGTTTTGGTATCTCATCATTAAATCATATCTGTAGCAACTGTAAATTGGGGCGTGGCCTGCTAATCGTCATGTACTATCTATTTTATCCTTTTTCTTTCAAGTGCTCATTGAGATTTAGCT